AGCCTGCAGGGGAGGGCAGTTAGGGGTGACCAGGCTGGCAGAGGAGGAAAGTTGGGGGCAAACAGGCTGGCAGGGGAGCAGTTAGACATCAATCAGGCTGGCATGGGAGTGGTTAGGGGGTGATCAGACTGTCAGGCAGAAGCAGTTAGGGGCAATCAGGAAGGCAGGCAGGTGAGCAGTTGGGAGCCAGCAGTCCTGGATTGTGAGAGGGATTCCAGATGGAAGAGGGTGCAGGCTAGGCTGAAGGGACCCCGCCCCCCCCCCCCACCTCGTGCACAAATTTCGTGCACTGGGCCTCTAGTTTTTTATTATAATAAAAGTGTAATATGCTAATTAGACCAGACATCCTTCGGGATGACCTTCCAGACAAAGCCAGGGTTGTGAGGGAAGCACTGGTTGGGGTGCTAGATGGAAGTCAGTGCCAGCAGCCAGGGGAAGGAAGGCCTATTACTATTGCATAAATTTTGTGCATTGAGCCTCTAGTTAAAAATAAAAACACTTGGGCCATCATAGCAGAACCTTGTGGGACCTATAATCTGCATTTTAAATAAGCCCCATTGGATAATTATGTTGCAGGTTGTTTCTCTTATAGAAATAATATTGGTTTCCAAGCACCCAATTTTTAGACAACAAATCAGCAAGCTTCATGCAAGCAAAGAAAATTCAGAAGGAAAGTAAGTTTTTATGTGCCCTCTTTCCATCCCCCTAACCTTTATTTACTCTAGCTGGAATACTGATCACTACCAAAGTATCCTACTGGGTGTTCTGTTCTCCCAACTGCTGACTCAGCTGTGGATAAGCTTTCTTCACTCATTCTTTACAAAAGGAAGTTTGCTATGAAATTAAGTGAGAGAAAATAAAAATAAAAACATATTACAAGCTGGAGGAGCAGGTCGGGGGGTGGGCAAGCCTATGGAAGCTCCACTGCTGTTTTTTTTTTGTTTTTTTTTTTTTTATCAGATAAGGAAAGCTGTGTTCCATGGCAGGCAATTCTTGGCAGAGCTTCCATTATTTGCAATGGATTTTTGATGAACAAGATCTGTGGATGGGATGCCAAAGGACTTAAAGTTTCTCTCAGAAGAATACTGAAAATTACAAATATTTTTTACAAATGTTTTACAAGCATTAGGCGAACATTTTAAATTAAGACAACAAGTTATTGCCACTGCTACAGTCTATTTCAAGATATTCTATGCCAGGTATTCTTTGAAAAGTACATATCCCATATTAATGGCTTCTACATGTGTGTTTTTGGCATCCAAAGTAGAGGAATTTGGAGTTGTCTCAAATGTAAGACTGATTTCTGCTGCTACTTGTATATTAAAAACTAGGTTTTCATATGCCTTTCCAAAAGGATTTTTTTATGATAAATGCTTTTTATTATTACATAATATTTAGTAGTTATGCTCAATAGGTCAACAGAAACTTGTAAATATTCTGCTAAATAATTAACTATAATACTTTTTTTTCTTATAGGATGAACCATATATTAGAATGTGAATTCTATATTTAAGAACTAAGGATTTTTGCTTGATAGTGTAACATCCCTATAGACCTTTTTTTCTCCAATATGTGCAGGGTATAGGTCAAGAAGACATGTTGTTTCACCTTGCATGGAGGATAGTGAATGATACCTACAGAATGGATCTTTGCCTACTGTATCCTCCTTTCATGATTGCTTTTGCTTGCCTACATTAGTCTGTGTTGTACAGCAGGAAGATACCAGATAGTAGTTTTCTGAGCTTTCTGTGGATATGGAGAATATTTTAGAAATAATCCAAGGTTATTTTAAAGTTATATGAATTGTGAAACAATTTTGATGAGAGAAAAGAGATGGCCACTATTCTTAGCAAAAGATGCCAAAATCCAAACCTAATCTGAACAGTGAAGGAGAGCAGAATCCAAATGGAAATCAGAATTCTAGCTACAGCCAATTTTAAAACATTCCTAAGAATTCTGTAGTGGACCAGTTGGAAATAAACCATTGGACAGATTTCAGTAATGTCTTCAGTGTAACACAAGTAAATATGAATAGCTTGTTTCTATCAAGCATACTGGGAAGTGGCTTTATTATGCAAATAAGTTTTTCCTTATCTAATTGTATTCTAGTACATACTTGGCTAAAGGCACTTGATCATAAAAGTTTGGAAAGGTTCTAAGGGGACCTACAGATAAACATTTCAAAATTAATATCTTTTGCCTAGTATAATTTCTTCTTAATATAGATAATAATAACTGTAGTCTTTTATTAAGCCAGGAAACATGAAACATAATTTGTTTAAAATTCTCTTTGGTCATTGAAGGATCAAAAAAGAAATAAAAAGTAAAATATATGAGGGTGCTTCCCCCATCTAAAGTTAAATTTTAAAACTGTATTTAAGGAATCAAATCTTACAAAATTCTGGAAGGCTTTGGCAATGATGTTGATAATTTCAGGATAATTAATCTAGTACTTATTGATTTTAACTTGTATTTTATTCAGTAGTTTTAGTATCTTGCCATGGGAGATACTAGCCCAGACTAGCAGAAAAGTGTAAAATGTATAGCATAGTTTGACATTTTTAAATTTTAAAGTTATATTAATTCTTAACCATTTTGAAATGCTGAGCAAACTTTTTTAAAAAAACTACAAAGTTATTTGCATTTGATTCAGTTAATTCAGGCATTAAAAAACTAATTGGATAAAACATAATATGGTTGAAATTTGGTAACATTTTTTTTAAACATATTTCTTTTTTTAAAAATATATTTTATTGATTTTGTACAGAGAGGAAGGGAGAGAGATAGAGAGTTAGAAACATCGATGAGAGAGAGTCATCGATCAGCTGCCTCTTGCACACCCCCTACCGGGGATATGCCCGCAACCAAGGTACATGCCCTTGACCGGAATCGAACCCGGGACCTTTCAGTCCCCAAGCCGACGCTCTATCCATTGAGCCAAACCGGTCCCGGCTTGGTAACATTTTAATGTTAATTTATACTCTACTGTGAAAAGTTTTTGGTATGACATACACACTCTAGTCTATTTTTGTGTCTTAGTGTGGATTTACAAATTTGTTATAGGTATCCTGAGCCAGCAACACAATCAGGTTTCAGGCCAGTTTGATATTTGCTATTCTTAATTCTCACATGATCATAAGATTTAAGACTAAATGTTATGTCAGTGGACTGTGCTGTGTGCTGAACTTAATAAATTAATCATTTTCTTCAGACTTGAAGAAGAATGATAAATAAAATTTGGAGTCATAGGATTCTGATGTACAATTTAAGGATTAAAATTTTATAAATTAATTGTGAACAATTAATTATGAAATTTAACATTGATTTTCTAATATAAAATTGCAAAAATAAAATTATATTTTCTAGCTTAAAAAACACACACCACATAACAAGTGAAAAGAAACCAATATATTTTCAGAACACAGATCCCTTCCCATAAGGTCATTCAAGATGGGGTTGGCTGGCCAGGTCACTAGGCACATGTTGTCTGTGGATATACCTACCCTGAGGAAAAGCAGATGGCCAGGGAGCCTGATGGACATCTGTGTGGAGAACAGGACAGTACTACAGTAGATATGCTAAGAGCACTCATAGCCCAGAGGAAAGGGTCATTTCTCTGCCAAATTAAACCTAGGTGCTCTATTTCCGTTCCTTCGTCTGTTCCTGCTATCTGACATATCTTTAGGCCCCTATTCAGTCGATCCTTCTCAACTTTCATGGCCCAGCTTGACTAACGCCTTCTCCTTATCAGGCCCTCGTAGTCCAGCTCTCCTCTGGAACTTGGCCTGAGAACTCTTACCGAAATTTTTATTTGTATTTTAGTCATCATGTACATACCATATCTACTCTACCGAACTGTAATCTTGTTGATTATAGAAACTATACCTTTTTATCTATTAATATGCTAGGTGTAGCCTGCCTACTTCCTACTACAATATTTAGAACTTGGTGGGTGTGTTGTGTACATTTATTGTAGAAATTAATGAGTGATTCATTTAATGCTGATTCATATCTTTGAGCTTTTGCTTATGCTCTTTCCTTTTCTGGAAAATCCTTCCCACTTCAAGTGTTATTTCCTCCAATAAGTGCCCCTAGTCCTAAGCTTTGGGGATCCTGTAGCATTTCCTATATTATCACTTACAACCACTGTTGTATATTAAAATTAAATATTGCTTCTCATTTTGACCTACTTTACCATAAGCTTTAAGAAGTAAAAAATCTCATCCTTACTTTAGCCCAGTGTTGGGTAGTAGGATGCACTTTATAAATGTTTTTCAAACATTTATATAATCCCTCCAGAAGTTTCATGACACAGAGGCTCCGGATTTACTTTGTGTTCTTATTAGAGAGGGCAAAACTATCCTGAGCTCCAATTTCCAGGGAGAGCCCAGCATAAACAAGCTTGCCATTCTAAGTGTCCTTTTGGCTGAACGAAGGAGTAGGATTAGGTGTTCTCTAGGGCCTCTTATAATCCCATGATCCTTATGTTCCAGAAATTCCCCAGCAGAGTAGGTTGTTGAATGCAAAAGAGGTAAATGTGTCCTCTCCTCCGAAGGTCTTTAAGATGACCCCCTGTCTCTGGGATGGCTGGACATAGGGAAAAGAATTTGTGACCCTTCAGAATACCCATTATTTCTCTTTTTAAATATATATCTCTCCTTTTGCCATCTTCCCTTTTCCTGCTTCCTCATTCTCCCAGCCTCTCTCTCTTTTCCCTCTTTTCTTATCTGTCTCTCTTCTCCTACCCATTCCATTCTACTTTCCGGAATCTCTACAAAAGCCTCTCCCGCTTTCCCTTTCCTTCCAGATTTACTTGATCCATCTCAGTTCTCCTTCATATATCCTGCATCTCTACCCATTCCCTCTCTTGCCTCCCTCCTCTGCTGTCAGCCCTGCTGGAAGCCAAAACTCCTCACGACTCCTGGAGGTGGGAGGGTGAGTGGGTGGACCCTGGTGCAGCGGTCCCGCCCCTCGGTGCGTGTGTGAATGTGTGGTAGTGACGCGGCACAGGCAGCTGGGAGGGAGACTGGGCCGGCAGAGAGGGAAGCGAGCGGATCGCTGGGGCTGCTCCGCTCCTGCGCGCCCTCCGGCTCCCTGCCGCCCGCCGAGGCGCAGGCAGGGCGCAGGCGGCGGCGGGCGGCATGGAGAGTCTGCTGGAGAATCCCGTGCGTGCTGTGCTATATCTAAAGGAGCTCACGGCCATCGTGCAGAACCAGCAGAGCCTCATCCACACCCAGCGCCAGCGTATTGATGAGCTGGAGCGGCGGCTGGATGAGCTAAGCGCCGAGAACCGCAGCCTGTGGGAACACCAGCAGCTGCTGCAAGCCCAGCCTCCGCCCGGGCTCGTTCCTCCGTCGCCAGCCCCGCTGTCCCCTATCCCAGTCACCGCCGCCACCGCCACTGCTGTCGCCCAAGAACCGCTCCAGAACCACGGACAGCTCCTGCCCACCTCGCCACAGACTGTACCGGAGCAGCCACCGATTCAGCACCACGGACAGCTCCTGGTGCAGCCCTCCCCGGCCCACAGCAGCAGGGCACACGCACCTCAGTCGCCCCACCAGCAGACGGTGGCGCCAGGGGCTGTCGCCAACAAGGAGAAGGAACGTCCCCCGAATTGTTGCGCTGCCGCTGGAACCCTCCTTCAGCACAAATCCCCCGCTGCCCTCGGCAAGGGCGTCCTGAGCAGGAGACCTGAGTGAGTGGGGAAGAGGGTTTGCGGACAGTTGAGGTAGGAGAAAGGGATGCAAATGGGCATGAGGAAGAGCCAAGGGGGAAATGGGTGCACCTAAGAGTCTGAAGGACTAAGGTAATATGAAGTGATGGGGTGAGAAGATGCTTGAGGGTAGAAGTGTGTCAAGGAGATTTGGGGGAAAGGAGGAAATGATATCAGTGTTTAGGGGTTGTTGGAGAAAAAAGGAATATCCAGATCATCATTGGGGGCAAAGAAGAAAGAAATTTGGTTTTAAGTGACTGGGGATGTTGAAAACTAGCAGTTTTTAATGGGGACAAGATTGAGATAAAGTTGGGGTGAAGATTTAACTGAAGAAAAGAGAACAGTTGGAGAATGTATTTAAGTTAGAAAAACCTTAGAAGAGAGTTGGAGTGGTAAAATTATTTCAATGAAGAGTAAGATATGAAAAAGATGGAGGCTTGGCAAACAGGCATGTTACGGGCTTTAAAGGGGCTAGAGTCCAGGAAGAGTAGACTTGGACTTGAGGGAATTCAGGAGGCAGAGGATATGGCTGAAAAGCAGGAATGATGCTAAAAGTCGGGGGGAGGGGGCTGTAGATAGAAGATGAGCTGGCTCTTTAATTGATGCAGTGGGAATCAAAGCCAGGAGTGGCTCATTTGGGGAATCTTATGCTGCTTTGACCTGAGTGACTGACTTTCTTATAAATCCCCACAGAACTAAAGGGGTGCAAGGTAACAACCCACCAAGCTAATGGAGGACTGAGTTATAGTATGAGGACTCAGTCTGGTTATAGTTTTCCCTCTGACTCAAAGAGGATTTCTGGGCAGGGTGCTTGGCAGTCGCACAAAGGGAACAATGATGAGAGACAGTTGCCAAACGGAGTTGGTAGTTCAGTGTAATTCCTGTTTAAATCTCTCTGTTAGGTCTAGTGACTGTCAACCTTCTTTCCCTTTGTTTTTTTGGTGATAGCTGAAATCTCATGTTGAGTTCTGAGAGAAATAGTAACCCACCATGAGGGACTCTAGGACCTTGAGCTCTTTCTTCACACACAATATCCATAAACTAGGAATATGGAAAGAAGAGATGAAAGGGGACTGGAATATTTCTCCCCTGAGTATTGGGAAAGCTGTGATCATGTCAGCTTCCTTTCTCTGAGTAGAGGTGATGGGGTAACTGCATGGAAGAACAGCTCTGGGGAAATCAGCACCTGGTCAGCATCTGATCCTGACAATGATGACGCTAAAGGAATTGATTAGGGGAAAGAGTGAAAAGAGCCAAGAATCTCATCTTCATCCAGTCTTGGTGTGCTTTAGATATGGGAATACTTATGAAGATTTTATATATTTCTTAAAAACCCATTTTCTCCTCACATCTACTGCAGGTTAGAGAAGTTGGGTCAGGACATGTTAGCTCACAGGGTAGATTTGGCCAAAACCATGAGATTTAAGGGGGAGAGGTCTAGGATCATCTGAGTTGGCTGACCTAAGGATTTGATTCGAGTCACAAGGAGATAGTTTTCTTAGCTCCCTCAGTAGTTTAATTGCCCTCCCTTCAATTTCATTGTTTTCTTTCCTTATCTAGCATAAAAAGCAGAAAGTCAGTTTTCCATGTTCACAGCTAGTTAAAAGGCCCATGATACTATGTGGCTTTCCCCCCAAACAGGGAGATAAAAAAACGATTTCATTCCCTTTTCCCGAGGGCAGCCACTGCTTCATAAAAATGATGGTTCTTCACCTGATTCCTCTCATCTTGTTCTTTATTGTCTCCTTCTCTTCCTCTGCACCCTACATTGTCTGCATCCCTTCAGGATATGTTGAGAAAAGATCATTTTTATTGAGTAATAACTTTGCTGTGGCCCCAAAAGTGGCTTATAGAACCCCAACTCTCCTGCTCAGGTGCTTTTGCTGGGAATTCAGGGGTTTAGGAATCATCTGAATTCCATCCAGCCTCATACGGCAAAACTGGAGAAGAAACATAATTTTTTCCTCCTCCCCTGTTCTGCTTTTGCTTCCCAAGAAAGCAGAACAAAAATAAGAAATAATTAGAGTAATGGAAAAGAGTAGAGATTGTTGGAAATCTCTCATATAGGAAGTTGTGCCAGGCACTAAAAGGTTGATACCACTAGTAGCTCCTTCATTTATCCAGATCCTCCAGATTTTCCTCCTGCTCCCCAAGTTTGAACATCAAGAGACTTAGAGAGCATGGGTATGGACTTGCATAGCTCACCTCCTTCCTAAGGTTCTCTCTCTCCCATAGATGTGAAATGTTGGCTTGCTGAGTATCTTTGGACTACCCATTTCTCTCCACAGTTTTGCCTAACTTCAACCCAATTTTCCCCCACAGGAACTCAGGAAGGGATTATCTTTGTTGACTAGATTTTTGGCCTCAAGCTGCTCTCTACCCATGACACCCTCTTTGTATGTCTGTCCTCCTCTGCCTATACCTCTCAATGGTGCAGATCTAGATGCAGCCCACAGGCAGGGAGATACCTTCATGGATAGCCATTAGGTGAGGAGAGCAGAGCCAACAGCTCTTCCCCCTCTGCCCTTCCCCCCCGCCCAATATTTCTCCTAGGGAACTCCCTGCTGAATCAGTTCTCTACTGGGGGTGCTGAGTAGAGAAAGAGATGAAAGAGGGAGAGTGTCTTTGGATTATAATTTTGCTGCACTCTTTTCTAATTTCATACTTTCCTTTCTCTGGCCTCATTATAGTGAGAATGAGGCCCTGGTGAGGTTGCTGAAGGGTAGGTGAGGGTTACAAGGGGCAGGACACTGTGTTAGATACGCTATCTCATCATACAGTTTGTCTCTTATCCACAGAACTCCTCTTCTTGCCCAAATCCAGAGGAAGCAGGAGCCCTAGGGAACCTGGAACTGAAAAATAATGGATTGTTTAATTGTCATCAGATCTGCATTAATATGCAGCTTGGCCTCTCTCCCTTTTTCAGCTGAGGGAGATAAAATAATGGTGGCCTTGGAAATTAGGCCAAGGAAGCAACATTATGGAGATGAGTGCAGAGACATCATGGAAAAAGAGACTTCAGGGGTTAAAATTCTTTTTTGCATGTTTCCTGGCTCTTGCTACACTCCAGCCCCCACTACTTTTGCCTCTTAATGAAAGCAGCAATCTTAGCTTCCTCCTCTTTATTTTTTCAATCAAAGCTCACTACATCTACAGAATTGGTTATGCTCTTCCTGGCTGAAGCCAAGGGCCTCAGCCTGACCTGGCAAAGTCTCCTCCTTGCCACAGAAGGACATGGCCCTGCCTGGAGCTACTGGCTTCAGCATGATTCCAGTTTCTCTGTTTGAGCACAGGTTTGCCCAGCTATCCAGCTAAGCATTTAGAGCACCTGGACCCCAGGGCTTGCCACCATCCCCAAGCCCATGGGCAGAGGATTTTTTGGAGGCTAGGTAAGATCATTACATTTTAATTCAAATTTAACTTGTACCTCAAACTCCCCACCTGAGTGGCCATGAAGTCTGAATGGCTCAGTAGCACCTGTCCTCTTTTCTCTTCTTTCTCCTTTGTCTATTTTTCTATACACTTCTTCACTATCCACCCTTTCTCTTTTTTCTTCTTTCTCTCTTCTCCTTTTCTTCCTGCCCCTCACACATTTTCTCTCCCCCATATTTTCTTCTTTCTATATTTTGCTTTTACTGAAGCTGCATAAGGAAGTCTCCCCTTCTCCACTCCCATCCTCTCAGCATAAAATAAATATTTGTCATCTTTTGAGTTCTTAATACTGACTGGAGGCTGGAGGATGGTTAGAAGATCATTGGAAGTGATCTTTTTGCCCCGTTATCTCAGGTGCTGGTTGGAGTAGGTTTCTTTGTTTGGAGGTGCAACTCATGACTGACCCATCCTGAGAGCTATTTAAAGAGTATGTAGGTATGTCAGTCAGTCAACTCCATTGTATCAATTGTCCAGTTAATTCAAAATTATGCATTCTGTGCTGTGTAGAGAGGAAATAAGCAAACAGTTGTGGTTCAACATGCAGGAGACACATATCTGGAAACATCCAAACAAGTATAAGCAGATTGCGGCTGCCTAGAGCTACCCTCTATCAGAACAGAATGGTGAAAGGGGTGAGCATACAAATCACATTCAGAGTTTAGAGAGAAGATTTTATTGGTTGGATTCAAGGGTTTACGTCAGGAACAGTAAGAGCCAAGACTAGCTGGATGGAGGACAGGGCCTAGAAGATTCAGTGTATGGAATCACTGTATGGCATCTACTAATAATTAATGTCGTTTTCTAATACTTCTTTAAATCGAATTTATTTAAACAATACAACAAAATTTAATCAACAATATAGTTGCCGTTGTTTTCTACTACTTGTGCCCAATGCTCAGGAAGCATTTTAATCCCTCTGTTGTAAAATTCTTGTGATTTTGATGCAAAAAAATTTGGTCAATGCATTTTTGAGGCATTCTTCATTATTAAATTTTTTTCCAAGAAGAAAGTTTTGCAAAGAACGAAACAAATGGTAATCGGAAGGGGCAATATCAGGAGAATATGCAGGTTGAGGGAGAACTTCCCATTCCAACTGGTGCAGTTTTTCAGCAGTGATTCTTGCAGTATGTGGTCGTGCGTTATCGTGGTGAAGAATTACGCCCTTCCGATTAATCAGCGCGGGTTCTTTTTCTCTTAAAGCTTGGGCTAACCTTTCCAATTGGGCACTATACACTGCACTTGTAATGGTTTGGTTAGATGGTAAAAGTTCATAATGAAGAATTCCTTTAAAATTCCACCAAACACACAACATCACTTTTTTCGCATGCAAGTCAGGTTTTGGTGTGGGCTGCAGAGCCTCATTTTTGTCCAACCATTGAGGCCGCCTTTTCAAATTAACATAAAGCACCCATTCTTCATCTCCGGTAACAATTTGCTCTAAAAACGGCAAACTGTTTTGACGAGAGAGAAGCGAACTGCAAATTGTGACTCTTTGATTATGGTTGTTGTCGGTCAACTCATGAGGAACCCATTTTCCAAACTTTTGGACT